CAGAGGGCAGTAAGGGCTGTCTGCCTCAATGATTGGGTTCTCTGCGTGCTGACCTCTCTTCCGTTCCTTCCCCTCAATGTTGGCTCACATACACTCCTCTGCTGCTGTTACTTGTTTTTCTTAGGAAGTCAGATCTTACAAACTAGGGGGACATTTGGCCACAGGGAGGTTCATGTCTCCTGTCGTGGAAGGAGTCAGTGGGTACACGAAAGGGTGCTGAGGTCTGTGGATAAGAGCTCAAAGTTGTGGCTCTACTAAATATGTGGCAGAAATTCTGTGTACTTTCCATTTTGTTCTCTGGATGTTTACCTTCTTTCTTACCAAAATCAGTAAAGTTCTGCTCATGTGAATCTGTTTTGAGCTTGAGTTGCATTTTTTTCCTTGTTTTTTCTCATAACACTTACATGTAATGGAGAATCTTCACGTGTTCTGGAGGAATGTGACCCAGTGAAGGAAAGAAACTTGCGTTGTGCTGCACTGAAAGAAAAAAAAATAGCCTGGAACAATGTGGGGAAAACCCCGACCCAGTATCATTGTCACATGGAGCAAATTTAAGGATCTGCTTGTGTACAGTATTCTCTCCAAGTTTGGTATAGCATGTCCAACCAGTTGTCAAACTTGTGATGATGTAGGGGTAATAGCCTCGCAAGCTGGAACACTGAATTATATAAAATAAATTGGAAAAGTTAATCTTCTCTGTAATTTTTGCACTTAACCCCAAATGAATCCCTTAGAATAAGTATACCTAATTATTTGTACAGCTATAATGCTTCCAACAAGCATAAAATCATGCTTTGTAGACAACCAAAACCTGGCGGTTATCTGAGGTGATGGGGATGGAATATTGGCTGACATCGGTAACCTACAGTGAATGGGGAGTTCACTGCAGACGCGAGACTGGTACCACGCACAACCAGCTTGGGTCACACCTTCATTCTGCATCAGCTAGACCTGAGCTGGCTCCAGGAGTGAAGGCAACTCGCTAGACAAAACACTGCACTCAAGCTGAACTTTTTCCAGGCGTTTTGGGAAGTACCGTGCCTGGCTCATAAGCCCCCTCTGAGCCCAAAGCATTAGGAAGTTCTGTCGAAGAGTTCCAGTATCCTTCCTGCATTGGATATTGGAGTTTACTAAACAGGATACAAGCAAATTTGATCCTGAAGGCTCAGTAGCCATAGCTGAACAGTGTGCTCCTAATCCCCAAAGCGCTGAAGGATCTGAGCAGGCTGCTCACATGAATGGCCTGTCTGTCCAGTGTTACTGCTCTGCAACCACAGAGGATAAACTGTCTGTGGTACTCAGAAATGACTGTATGTATGGCCATGTTTATAAACACCAACTACGAAAAATCCATGCCCCATCAAAAGTTCTGAAGTTAGCAAGAAGCTGTTAAAATCCTGTGCTTTTTGCCTCCTGAGTTTTTTTTAGACTGCATTAGCTTCTGGTGTTCAAACTTTTCTCTGAAACCTTAAGAACTGGGAAAATGTGCATATAAATAGAGAATCGTATTTCATCTAGTGGAACTTCAATAGAATTATTAAATATAGGAGTTGATAACACTGAAAAGGTAGGTCTAATTTAAGCAATGATTGAAAATCACACTAAGCAAAAGTCTCTAATCTGTGTGAAAATGATGCCATCCCTGTAAGCAGAATAATGGCTTTTTATCCTTGATCTTTGAAAGGACAGACAGCAAAAAATGTGTCATAACTGCAACGGGTTCTGGGTCAAGAACGATCGTATCTGAAAAAGCTGTTGCTGAGATTGTTACAAAGTTGGTTCTTGTAAAATAAAAAAAATAGTGAAAATTGCATTTCTTTTTGAAGCATGGTAGAAACTCTGTCTAAAGTGGTGTTCCAATGTACTATCAGGGCATGCAAGCATATTGCTCTATGGTAATGTAAAAAATACTCACAATATGCAATTAAAAAGCCACTTATTTTCACTGCCTACATCATTAAATGCTAACAGTAAATAATAGATTAGAGATGGGAGATGCTATCCCTTTGCAAGTATCAAAGTTTATCTCCATCGTACTATTCTGTCCAGCTACATGAGGTAACATCATAATCAGAGGTAAGATACCTCAGAATAAGTAGTTTCAAAGCAGCTCAGGAAGCAGTAGCTGAACCATTGGAAGGATGATTTGTTTCCAGGTGTAAGTGGTTATAAACCAAGTATAAACACAAGCAGTTGGCCAAAGCCAAGGCCTGTAGAAAATAACCTTGGAAAAGAACAAGGCTCTCTGTAAGTTGCCGGCAGTTGTTCGTGAGGCGATGACACCACCAAGAGACTGGCAGAGAAGCCCTCTCCGGTCCAGGTGCAGAGATGGGGAGGGTGTGAGTTGGGTGTCATGCAGGGTAAGGGAAGGTGAGGGTCTCTAACCCTTTTCTTCCCCATAAAATACCTAATGGGTTGGGGTTTTTTTGTTGTTTGTTTTTGGGGTTTTTTAAGAAGCTGTTTTGAGTCATTTTAGTCAGGCTGGCTACCTGCCCCCAAGGAAGGGTTTGCAGGTGACAAGCATATTCTTGCTGATGTCCTATCCACAGAGTAGTCTGAAAGCTGAATGTTCATGGGGAAATGCACAGCAAGGGAAGCAGCTCATCCTGCCACCTAACAGTTTACTTGGGGGATGATGGAGGATTCAGGGGACAACCCAGATTGCAGCTATGATGATGTAACAGCAAGAGAAGGAGACCGAGTCTAAGATAAGAGGCATAAGTGTACACAGGGAGGAATGCAGACAGTGGCCTGCTGCTTGCAAAATGTGATCACAGAGGCAGTGGCAGAGATCACAGATGCAAGTCATCCTTGAATCTGACAAACAAGAGAGTTCAACAGTGCAAAATCTGTATTTTTGAATGCTTCACTGTAAATAACTTGAGTTACGATGATGGTAAAGCAGGAAAGGAAAAAGCCTGAAGGCGTTAGCTCTGATTTTATCATTTGGTACAGTTTCTTGACTGTGGAAGAACTCATTTAAAGCAAGTCAGTTCCTGGCCTGTGCAGCTTCAATTCATGATTTCCCATTGGACGTCCCAGAACTCAAGTTGCCATTTGTTTTCTCTTTCCTTTTTTTTCCTCTCTCTTTCCCCTTATGTGCTTCCACCCTGGGTCTAAAAGCTTCTGTCAAAAGAATTACTGAAGCTAAAAAAAAATAGTGCTTTATACCATCTGAAAGCTTCACAGCCTTGAGTCATATATATGGAGGGTAAAAAGCAATCCATCTTAAAGATCAGCAGCTTTTAAACCACTGAAACCCCCATTTGACCTTAGAATTGCAAGGAAAGGGATGTTTATCATGATACCGGGATTTAAACCCTAATTCCTCCTAGCCTTGTATAATGTACACAGTATTTCACAAACCGGTGCAAGTGTGAGTGGGAAGGCTTGTGAATTACCAGAACAGCTGAGATGTTAAGCACAGGCTGCTGGTTTGGGCAATGTTATTTATTTATCTGGATAAACATTTCCTTTTTCACTGGAAAGAAGTTGGAAAGGATATAGAGAGTATGTATTTCTGAGTCTCCATTAGCTTTGCTCACCAGGATTACATGCAGAGCAATTATGTCTAATCTTTATTATGTTAACATCTAAACATTGGCTTCCTTTTTATTTCTGCAAATTCACTTGTGCAACCTCCACGTTGTTTCCGTGGCCAGTCGTGTGGAGTTTAAGATATCTCTGTTGTCAGTTCTTCTCACACTGTTTATTCCTTGAGCTTCTCCCCATATGAGCGACATAGCGTTGTCATATCCTGAATAACTGTGTCCCTACCCTACTGTCGGAACAAGTATCTCTGTTGTATTCCTTGCACTCGCCCCTCAGAGTGATGCCAGTCTTCTCCTTCTTCCTATGCTTGCTTTCTTCTGCTCAGGAAATGTCCTTCCTGAGGTGCTCAGCAAAGCCATAGCCCTGCACACCTTTAAAACTTCCCTGACGATCCACTTCTGTGATGCTTGCAGGAAACTAGCTAAGTAATCTGCTTATCTATTTCATTTATCTCATGAGTGACTCAGTCCTTCCAAGGTGCCTGCAAGAAACTTGTTGATTAAATCTACTTCCTTTTACTCAGTTTTTATCAAATAAAAATATTGGTGGATTGTGCCCTGTATTGGCCTTCATGGAGGTTGGGTGAATTCTAGGACAACCGGATCACGGGCACCTTTTGGATGCCACTCTGTTCTTCCTGCCCATTTGTTGCTCGTATCCTTTGTTGCTTCTCATTAGGAACACCACCTTGTCCTCCAGCTACACGCAAATAAAGAGGCTTTGCTCTTCACTCAGTTCTTCATGAATTTAGCAGAGCATCAAATATGTGTGGGAGTCCACCTACTTGGAGCTGATTGTAGACTCATCGTAGTAGTTTGGGAGCTACTCCCGGCACAATCAATGTTTTTTTGTCCCTAGGAGGTGTCTCCTACCACAGTTTGCGGGAGTGTCTAAAACACTATTCATAAGGAGCTACTAGCATTTGGTGTGACTGTTGACTGCTGTGATCGTACTCGTGGATATTTCATGTTAGCTCATTTTCAGTGTTTGCAACTCCAAAAAAGTTCTGTAAAATAAATGTGTGAAGGTTCTCGGCCTGCTAATGCTCTCTAGCCAGCACAGATAGTGTTACCCACAGTTTAAACAGACAATTTCAAGGTATTTTAATTGAATACAATTTTAACTTAATGGATAAGAGTAGCAATTTAAAGACAATTTTTTTCTTCACAAGAAAAGATAGCAAACTGAATCTTTTCATAATTGCACTGTGTCATGTCATGAAGTAACACATATGGGGATAATTTTTATTCCTGTGCTATATAACAGGCAACATTTATTTGTGGCTTGTTGTGCTTGTCATGTCTTTCTAATGCACAAAAAACAATGGGTCTCCCTTTTGTGCAAATGGTGACAGTGTATTTAGTGTCCTCTTCAGAGGGGCGGCTCCATCGGTATGAAGTTAAGCACATGCTGCATGTCAGCAGGATCCGTGGGCTGAAGTGTAAGACATGTACCCGTTGTTCAGTTGTTACCGGCATTTCCCAAGGAAACGGTATGGCCTTGGCTATGTCAACACCTGATTTGATTTTGTGGCATTATCGTCTAGCAAGCTAATGGTCGCATAGGTAATTAATATTGCTAGACACAATGGCAGCATTCCTCTCATTAGTAGAGGCTCCAGTTTGTTCTGCAAGACCCAGAGTTTGAATCCCCATATTTCCTACAAGCCTTACCTTGGAGCTGGAGCTGCACTAATGGAGCTAATCCTCTGGTTACTTTTCTTGCCATATGGGGAAGGGTTACCTGGGGATGAGTCCTGAACATCATCATAAATATTAGTAATTTGCTAGATGGAAAACAAGGGAACTGTCTTTGAATACTCAGAGTTAGTGCTGACTAGCTCCCCAGTTGCAGTCCCTCAGTAGAAGGTGAAAGAGGGCAAAGGAAGGAGCGAGACACCACCCCCCAAGAGAGTACAGGTTTCTCCAGTGAACTAGCTGAGGGCTTTGAAGTAGAGCATGCCATCAACGCAGACTTTTTATTTTTCTCTTCTAGTTCAGCTTATGATACAAAAACAAGACAGAAGGTGGCAGTAAAAAAGCTCTCAAGACCTTTTCAATCGCTTATTCATGCGAGGAGGACCTACCGAGAGCTTAGGTTGCTTAAGCACATGAAGCATGAGAACGTAAGTGGAGAGTGAGTTCTTTCCCTTTGGATTTTTATGACAAAAGTTTGCAATATGGGCTTAATTTCAGTTAAGTACAATCTCTTTCGAAAAGTGTATCCAACTCTCTAGCTGTCCAAGATACCTGGACCTAGCCATCTTACGTGTAGTGAAATCACTGGGCTTTAGAGACTTCCAGTAAAAGGCTGCCTTTTTACTGAAAAATTATCATCTTAGAAGATGCAGCTAATGAAATCCAAAAGAAGTGGTCCTACTCTTTTCTAACTAAAGTAATAAGAATGTTCTGCTCGACACAGTTGGATGCTCTTGAAACATCAGTCCAGAAAAAAAACAACTCTCAAATCTGCTTTTGCTGAATTTGGATTCTGTTGAGAAACTAAGGGCTAATTTCTCATTGAAATCAACAGCAGTGTAATATGTAGATGAAATGGATATTCTTTAAATAGTAGAACTTAAGGCCCCAAATAAGTGAGTACTCTTCTAAGTTTATGTGGCAAACAGTTGATTTCACTGGGAGTATCCATCTGCTTAAAAGTAGTGTGATGAATTGAAGCCGGAATAAAATATAGTGGATTGAAATGTATCCTGGAGACAGGATGCTGAAAAAGTTAACAACAAAACAAGATAGCCCATGAAAATGTGCATGATCTTATGTATAACAAGTGTATAAGTCATGTGTCAGCTTTTCTGTAATGAGACTTTATTTTTCCTGCCTTTATTTCTGATTGTATAAAGTCTTGTTGTAATTACTTTTTGTAATTAATATAATTTTTTGTTGGTCATGGAGATAGATGAGGCTATACCTGTATAGACCACCTATTGTGCCAGTGGTACTGTTTTCAGGATGGGCTGTATGTCATTTTTTTTTAAGTTTCATTCCAAAAATGCTAAGCACTGTCAATACTAATTACATGTTGCTTTACAGATTTCTAAAAATAATATGTTGATTCCTTCATCTTTCAGGTTATAGGATTGCTAGATGTTTTTACACCTGCAACATCAATAGAAAATTTTAATGAAGTGTAAGTAAAATTTTAAAAACATTCTGAATAGTTAGTAAGTAAGCAAGCACCACGCTGGTTTTAAAAAGAAAGCATGTACTTTTCTAATAGACTTGCAGCCACAGTTGGCTTTGCATGAAGAACCCAAATAAATATTTTTGCAACTTTTCTGCAAAAGAGGAGGAAGGAGGATGGGCCTCATTTTTGTACTTTTTTGAATGATAGTTAATAAGATTATGGTTTGATGCTGCATAAATGCCAGTAAACTTAAAACTTTTTCAGTTCAATTATGCGTTAGCTGTAGATTTTTTTTTTTTTTTTTTTTTTTTTTACAGCTAGATGGGATAGGTTAGGAATGAAGGAAAGTATTCTGTTGGTTAACTGAGACGAGATAAATTTAGGCTAGATTCCTGACTACACTAGGACTAGGTGTATTTTGGTGTTACTCAAACATACAATTTATACTGAGTTCCTCTTGGTTTACATTGTGTATAAGCACTTAGGTAAACAATTTAGCAAAATAAATAGTAATTAATATATGTTTGTCTCCATGGAAATTAAACTCCTTTGACTCTGGGGCAAAATTACACAAACGAGAAGCGAGTATGATGGATGCATACTTTTGTCCTGGCACTGTTTTTGGAAGAGAATCAACGTTTCTGCAAAATTTGTCAAAAAACCCCACACTTCCAGTGGGGGCAGGGAGGGAATTTACACAAAACTCTCTTATTTCAACCCATCCAATGTACATCTCCATCATCAGATATTCCCTGGCCTTGGAGGTACTGCAGTTTCGGTGTCTCAGGCTCCCAATTTGATGTCGGGTGAGGCTTCCTATTCATGTCAAAATATGATGCATTCTCCCCTCACTGAACTGCTGTAGGGTGTCATGGAGAAAACAGAGATAATAGCTTTTAACGTACCATAAGGATTTTTCTTTTTCATGATATTAAATCTCGTGTTATTCCATTATTAAAGCTCGTAGCTGATTTATAGAGTATAAACTGTGTGTTAGTGGAAAATAGAAAAGGAACCTACATGGGAGCGTGTAGATGTGCTGCTTTTAGAGGGATTTACATCCTGCCATTCTTAAATGAGGTGTATTTCTTTGTTTTCTTCTCTCTGTTTTATTTTCACAGGTATCTTGTGACAAATTTAATGGGTGCTGACCTGAATAACATCGTGAAGTGCCAGAAGTTAACAGATGACCATATACAGTTTCTTATCTATCAGTTACTTCGAGGTCTTAAGGTACTGGCTGAATGCAGGAGTTTTAGAGTCAGCAACCCAAATGTTGTAGTAACAACTGGTTCATAGCAGTGACAGTACTTAAACACTTTTTTTTTTTATGTCTGAAGAATATGCAGGTAGCAGCAATCATTTCAGAAATTATCAGATCATCTTTCTAACCAGAAATAAAACCCCGGGCCTGCCAATGTTAAAATGTGCAGTATATGTGAATACTCCGCTTGAACGTTAACTTTAGATAAATATCTATTTAATTTATTATTGAAAGAGAATCACTTGCTATATAGTGTCTCAAGTGAACATGTTCTGTAGCGCACAATGTGTGGTTTAGGCACTTGAGCTGTCACAAGAAGGTAGTGAAAAAACTTCTGAAGAATTTTATTTTGAAATTGATAAAGAACAATATGACAAGTAACTCACATTTGTGCTTTGAAAGACATGAGCGAGTTTGAAAAACTACAGCCCTGATTTTCATAGAGAGTGTCACAGGGATGAAGAGATAACCAAGTTAGTTGGGTTCTATGGGAAAGGTCTGGAAGTAGGAGATTATCCTAGCAATGTACGATGTTGCACACAATCACCAAGGATTTACTCTGCCTGTAAAGTCATTGTTTCCTTTAATCATATCAGTTAAAGTTTGTACAATTAAGTAACATGGGCAATTGGCAATGATACTGTAGCAAAATTTTCTTCCAAAAGAATTAAAATGTGTATCATTTTGCTGATATTAAGCATGTAAGTGTCTTTAAATGGGAGAAGATACAGAAAACGTTTCCCATTACTCAGCGATAAGCATTTTCTCAGACCAGTGTTGATATTCCCAGTATAAGCAAAAAGAAAAAAGAGGAGTCAGCTGCTGTAGTAGATAACTTAACAGTAACTGATGTTTTAGATGTGGAAAATAACTGTATGTTTGAAAGCAAGCCATGGTAAATACTGGCTCTGAAATATACTTATTACGTGATCTTCAGCAACTCACCTTGTGCCTGAGACAGTAATTCTTATTCATGCATGCGAGTTCTGTCAATTTAGGTGCAGATTTTAGTGAATAAAAATTGCAGGACTGAGCCCTTAATTGCTTTGTCTCATTTACTTAAGTTAATAGCTTAATTAGGAAGATGGATTCTGGAGTTAATTATCCAGCTTGTGGTTTTGAATATAAGGCTATGTTGTGTCAGAGCTAAATAATAGTAAGAGTTGTGCTCTCTAAAGTGAATATTAATTTCAGAAATGCACACTCAGGTGCATTTCTGGCTCTGTTTCAAAGGGGTGGGGTTGGTGGTGGCTCATCTCTTCTGGAATTGAAGTTCTCCTGTCTGATTAGTGAAATGAACATTTGATCTCCTCCCTTACATCTACACTGGAGCCATTACAACGTGTATTTGCATACTCGAGCAAGCTTTGGGCTCGCTGGTGGGTGCGTTCAGCGGTATGGAGCAGAGGCTTCGCGCCCTGCAGAAGCCGTCTGGGCAGGCGAAGCGTTAGTGTGGAGCTGCGTGGTTTGGCAGGCTCCTGCGCTGGCTGGTGGGGGCTGCTCGGTGGCACCGAGAGGAACTCGTGTCTCAGCCGAGCAGGGACGCGGCTCCTTCTGTCGCAAGTGGTGCTTTGGTTTCCTCTTCGGTCAGCTGCTCGCAGCTGTTGCGAGGAGCGCTCGGGGTGGCCCTGCCCTGCTGATAAACACTGTGTAGGTCTGGAACAAGAAGAATGCCCTTGTGTTTTCTTTGGGTTTTCCCAGTTGATATACAGGTTTTGTGTGTAATCTCTGCTCCTAAAAAAGAAGGTAAATTCACCTCTGGAGAATAGAAGAGAAGGTTTTCAAGGTCTTGCTGATCCTGGTCAGTAAGATCATAGATAAATTGGCTGTTAACTCTAACAGAGGAAATTACAGAGTAAGCTTTTCTCAATCTTTGAGCTTTCAAGTTTTATATAAAATAGCCGAGACACTAAATAGCCATTGAGATACTGCTTTGGGTCCCTGCTTTGAAAGTGGACCTGCAGCAATGCTGTGGCTTAGGTGAGTATTTTGGTGACTAACCTGTCCCACAGTGTGAGTATCTCTCACCCACATTCAGTGTTCGTGGCATGGGAAGGTGACTTACATCATCTAGGACTCAACCATACTGGTCCCTAGGTCCCTGCCTTCATTGAGGCACTAGCTGATCAACATGGACATCTAGATAAGACTGGCACAAATTCCGAATTGGCAAGAAACTTTCAACAGAAGGATCACTGCAAGTGATCTTTTATGGTAGAATCTAGACTTTATGGTTACCTTTACTGAAATATCCAGCTCTGGATAAAACAAAACAAGGAGGTTTTGAAGTTCATCGTATCTCCGTTTGATCTAAAAATGTAGTGTGACGTAAGTCTTTTCTGTATGTAAAACCATCAGTCTCGGAAGCAAAGAGAAAACACAAGTGACTTAAACCTTACTTCACCTCTAGCTTCAAATCTTACCTTTTTTTTTCCTTTTTGTTTCACAGTATATTCACTCAGCTGGAATCATCCACCGGGTGAGTTCACTCATTACGATAATAAAAATGGAGTGTGTCCCTCTGTGCATCAGATGTGTTACTAAGACATAGTTATAATATACTTTAAAAGATTAAAATTGTACTTGACTAACTGTCTGTTCTCCTATAGGACCTGAAGCCCAGTAACCTAGCTGTAAATGAAGACTGTGAATTAAGGGTAGGTATCATGCTGTTGTAGTGAAGAATGTTGTAAAAGCTCTCAACATGACAGTTTTCTGAGAAAACATTAGCTACCATTTTTATTTCTGACTCCATTAGTTTCAACTGTGTGCTACTGTTGCTCCCCGGCATAGAAAGCCCATTTCCATGAACATGTGTTTTCTCCCAAGTGTTAATTTACTACAAACACAAGGATCTTTGCAAAATGTTCATCCCTAGTCCCTCGCAGATGGTACATGGGCTAATAATTTGGCCCATGAGCAAGTACTTAACTGAGTATATCATGAAAGTTTGACCTGTGATATGTATCTGCATCTGCCTTGTTTAGATGAAGCCTTGTAACAACTTTCATTTTTATGTCTACAGAATATACAAGCTAAATTAAACAATGATATGAAAAAAGATACCAGTGTTACCACTTATGTGATCAATGATAGGCAATAAATAAAAAAAAGCCCAAAACCCAAACCCCAACCAAAAAACCCTGTAATTCACACTTCTCCAATGCTGTTCTAATGTATACTTCTATATAAATACGTGTATCTGTGTGATATGCTATTACATAATAAGCATGAGACTCTGGAGAAGGAAAAGATGTCTTCTGGCTTTCTAAGCCTTTAAGCCTAAGAATGAGAAGTTTAGCATTTCTTCATGACAGCCAAAAACATCTTTCTCCCTGTGACTGAGACTCTGGTGTAATCACTTTATTCCAGCTGCGAGGGATTTAAGAAAAGATTCCAAATACTACAAGATCAGCAAAAAAATCACAATAGTGAGTAAGAGCAGCACAGTTAGGTTCTCGCACTAATCTGGATCTGTGGTGAGAAATGAGTTCCTGTTTGGTTTAGTGGCACTTGCAGATGCTCAGTAAGTTTAATGATTATCCCTTTAATGTCTTCATGCATGTATGTTGAGCATCTGTGAAATTTTATGGGTCATCTGGGTCTGATCATGCACTCTAAAATGTGTGCTGTGTTTTTGTGCTGTAAGTAAAGGAGACTTTTAATCTTTTTTTTCTATTATCGTGGTATCTGTGCATCTCCCTGCCTAGCATTTGTTACACTGCTCTTTGCTTTGTTTGTATTTATAGCTTTACTTCCTCTGATACCAAATTATTTTCTAATAGAACAAAGTAGTAGATATTTCCAGGTACAAACACAAAGGAAATAGAAGCAAAAAGAAGGAAAACATGTGTGTACACATTGGATAGAAGGGATCGGCTATTAAAGAAAAATATTGCCGAAACCTTTATAAAAATAAGGGTGTTAGTGTTTGAGTTTCGTGCCATTATTCATGCCTTGCTTGCCTCCTGCTTTTATTTTTGCTTATTTAAGAAATAATGCTTTTAAACTGTATTAGAAGTAAAGATGTTAATGTGTTCTTTATATCTTAATATTTTTCTTTAGGTTTTTAATATCTTTAAATTGGATTATAACTGAGGAATGATGCTCTTAACATTTTCTTACTCCAAATGAAAAGGATTAGCCATCATCTTAATAAATAATCCGGGATCTCATCATGGGAGGTTGCTACTGATCTTAATTCACATTTCTGTTTACTTAACGAACAGCGCGGAGGCTCAGATGGCACCCTTTTCACAACAGTCTGTCTTAGAGTTAGGAATACCTTTTAGCTCCGTATTAGTGGGACATCAAAAAATAGAAAGCAAAGAAATGAGCAGGGAAAATGTAATTGAAATAATTTGCCATCAATGTAAACTTAGCAAGGGAGAGCATATGGAGGGGAACATTTTGCCTTTGAGCCTCGGAGTAATATGTGTACCTAAACAGAGCTCCTGTGTTGTTTCGGTGGGGGAGTTCTACCAAAAAGAGATGGTATGTGATTTAAATCTACCTTGTTACGCAGTATATATGCTTCTCTCCTAGTGGCATTGCGACTTGTGTGCAACAGCGGTTAGGTCGACGTGAGAGGGAAACAACAGAAATTCTGTGGATTTGAGGTCAGCTCATATGGTCTTCAGGTGTTTAAGCGGCCAGTGGCACTTGCTGTTGGCATTTTACACAAACGTTCCCACTTGGGAATGATTAATTTTTATAGCAGCAGTGCTTATTTTTAGCAAACGAATGTCAGAGGAAAATTTAACTTGAGGCAAAATATAAAATCTGCCTTAGCAGACCAAGGGCCAGGCTCATCGCAGTGGACATGTCTTGACGCAGACCTGTAGGCTGCAGGGATACGGCAGGGAGAGCAGATGAGCTCATCTGCAGCGTGTTGCTAGTTTACTTCACTGATGGCGAGGGGCTTGGACTTCTGGATAAACTCAGAAATAAGAAATGGGAAGAATCAGTACCTGTAACAAAAGTGGAAAGGGATTTTTATTAATTCTTTTTTATTCTGTAGATTTTAGACTTTGGTTTAGCTCGACAAACTGATGATGAAATGACCGGATATGTTGCAACAAGATGGTACAGAGCTCCAGAAATTATGTTAAACTGGATGCACTACAACCAAACAGGTAAACTGCAAAGACTGCATTTTGCTACAGCTGGATATAGTGATAGTTTTAAACCAAGCAGCAGCTCCGTTTACGGATCTCTTCGATTCATCGCACACATTTCTCTCCCCGTTTTTTGGCAGTTGACATCTGGTCGGTTGGATGCATCATGGCAGAGCTATTGAAAGGGAAGGCCCTATTTCCAGGAAATGATTGTATCCTTAACATAAAACATAAAAGCAGCTATAAAAATACTCTCTAATTTTTTCTTTTTTGCCTAATTACTTGAGTGTTTCTATGGAAATGTTTTTGAGGTAACAAACTTCTAAAACAGTAAACAATTTTTGCTAATCTTTCAGTTTAGTGTGTATGACAGCTGAATATGAGACCCATTGGTAGGAAAAAACCCCTGTAACAGATGTTCCTAAACGATGATAAGTTACATTTACTCTTTGTTGTGTATCTGTATTTAAGTAATAACCTAGTTACAACAGAGCAGATTTCTTCCATGTGTGTATCTCGCTGAAATACATGAAAGCTGAAGGCAGTAGGTTTTGATCAGCTAATATAATCTAAAAAATAGAACTGCTTTTAGGCTGGAAATTCCTAAAATGCAAACAAATTAACTTCTGAATAATAAGTGAATTAATAGACATATTGTGTCCTATTATTAAAAAAAGCCAGCAGTTCCAGAAATGCCATGGAAGCAACAAAACCCTCTTTTTTCTTCAGTGCTGTGCTGTGGTCCCTGATGGAGTGCCAGGGATTTCCATTGGCGTTTCCTGTGCTGGCAGGAGAAAAAAAAACCAAACGTTGTTGAGGATAGTAGTAAAATAATAAAAGAAAACTGAAGAAAAACAGATAATGAGGAAATAACTGCATCAGAGGAGGAAAGCTTTTAATATGAGAAACAAAGGCACTTTCTTTTGTCCTGAATATTGACATTTCTCACTACTTTGAAACCCCTCAAAAAGCAAACGCTTCTGCTAAAACTAAGCCATTGCCAGGTGCAAAACAACATGACGTTAGAATTGCCTGCAGAACTGTTAAGAGAGCTGAGAGGCCAAGTCTCCCCACTGACCTTTCTATTGTGCTCAGCATCATTAGGCGCTATTGTAACCACAGGCATTGTCCAGATGTTCATCATCTGGATGATGAGTGTGCTTCAGACTGTTTGATTACATGATATGTGGTATTTGGAAAAATCGATATATCTAGTTTTCAAGAAATAAGATTTACTTTTTTTTTTTTTCTGTTACAAAATATTGTCTACAATTGTGTGATTACATCAATTTAGATAAAGCTGTAAAATAACCCAGAGTCTCTAGGGAAAATGTAATATACTTTACAGGTCATATATGACTATGAAAAATGAACATTTAAAAGTTTTTAATCTTGGGAGTGATATAAAACAGATTTTTAAAGCTACCAAATGGGAATTTTCCACTTAGCAGCCCTCAGATTAGTAATCTAGCCCTATGTGCTGTACTAGGCTGTTTTTCAGAAATCCTTCAGATCACTGAAATGTAAATGTGCTATTAAAACTAAGCTTAAGAAGAATATGTTAAATTGGGAACTAGGACAAGGAAGCAATATTTTGCATGCACCTCTCTCACATACAGGCATACCTGACAGAGATTCACATAGTGCAAACAGATAATTTGATACTCCAGGACTAGGCTTAAGCAGGTATGAATTGGTGTCCTTCCATGGACTGTGACGGAATTGTCTTGCTGAATAGTTTTAAACATCTTAACTATCTGCATGAAAGCTCATTAATTGTTTAAACCCAGAAGGACCGTGTGCTGTTTATTTCCCTGAAATAATGCAGATATTGATCAACTAAAGAGAATAATGGAAATTGTGGGCACTCCCAGTTCTGAACTTCTGAAGAAGATATCATCAGAACATGTGAGTTCACAGCTTCATTCAGTTAACAGACTTTCTATCACTCTTTTCTCTAATTGCCATCATATGTCACTGGTTGTGTTATGCAGATATTCTGATTTGGAGATGGGCAAACATGTCAAAGTGATGTCTCTTTTTTTGTTGCTAGAACGGTGTGATTAAAAAAAATACTCTTGTTAGAGGTATCCAGATGCCTTGACTGTCAGCTGGATTAATTTTGATACTTGTTCTCACGTACTGTTTTTGAAAGGAGTTTTGCAGTTGGTCTTATGATCTTTTATTTTACTGCTATACTTAGAATTAAAAAAAATATCAAACTGATGCTCAGGTCAGAGCATTATATTGTTGTTGTTAAATCTGATGTCTCTTTAATTTTTATGCTTTCAGTTGTTGTAAGGGATCTAAATAGAGATATCAGAATCAAATAATGTGTGTTCTGCATGAGTGCTCTTATTTGGATCCCTAATTTGAAATTCATATTTATTCATCTTTCTGAATGTTTGCATGAGGTCCGCTTTCATGATAATATCTCTAGTTAACAGTGTGATTTTTAACTCTCCATATGACTTCTTTAAGAAAGTAATCTAGTAAATTAACAATTTCCACTTTGTTTCTCTGCTAAAGCTGCACTTAAAGGATTCATTTTAAGCAGTAACTGTGGATATCCAGCTGAGGAATGAGATGTGGTATTGACTGATAAAGGCAGGCGATGGGCACAGTGTAAAGATTCAGATAAACAGCAGCACACAGATACCCCCTGAGCTGACGCTGTTTTCTTAAATTTTTTCTATATGGACCTCAGTCTAATACTAGTGGCTATTTTTTCAGCTCATGTGTGTATATTGATGGGTTTTCTTTGAACTTGATACATGCATGGGTTAAATAAGCAGGAACAGTAAGAGAGCCAGAGCAACACTGTTATTTCTGGAAGGTCCAAGCATAATGAAACCTCATCAGAGCAGGCCAAGACACAGCCCCAGAGCTTGGGGGTACCCAGCACCGGGGGATGGCTGGGGCAGGAGGAGGATCCGTCCTTGTGCCAGGGACCGGATCAACCAGCAAATCTCGGACTGTGCTGTCCTAAGCGTAGGTCCTTGTATAGCCTTCATGTGCTAAGATCCTGTGGCTTTTGCAGTAACGCTTTCAGAGTAGTGTACACAAATGTGTGGTTTGCCCACAAGTAGTCAGTTGTGAGCTTTTTGATTATGAGATTAAGCACCCTAAATATTGACTGGAGAGAGTATCTGCTTTTGTCTTTAATTTATAGTGTTTCAGAGCATACCTCAGTGAGCTGCAGGACCTGAAACTGTTTTACTGGGGCTAATTATACCTTTAGAGCATAGAGAGAACACAAAAACCAAGTTAATGAATGGGAGTGCTGCTAGGTCACCTCTGGGCTGCTGCTGCCTGGTTAGAGGAGCGATGTCAAAGGAGGATACATACCTTGCTTGGAGGTACTCGCCTCTTGCAAGGGAGTGTCTATTCCATGCCTTCATTCTAGTTCTTTACCTTGTAGTTTGACTTTATTCCTCAGACGTTTTTTAATGCAGCTTGCAGTCCTGGGACAATTTTTTCCATTCCTCTAACAGCAAGATCAGAGGTTTTCTGAAATGCCAAGCCTATTTTCAGTCATACGTAGAGGATTAAAGAATTGGAAACCTCATGGGATGTTTCAGCACAAATTACTGAGCTGATTTGTCAGTCTTTCACGTTAATACAGGTTTAAACAGTGACTGCATTTAATTATTTTCAGGATAATTCAAATGTCTAGATTCTATTGGTTAGGTTTCTGTGGGGAATATATAAGCAGAGTGGATGGGTTGGTAAGTATACTTTGATAGGTCTGTGTTGTTTTCAAAGGACTTCTGGACAAGGTTGGAGATAATTTTGGCCATATCTTGTTCAGTCATGTTTGGATTAGTGATGTTAATTGATGTCCATACAGAAACAAATAATCCACAAATCCACAGATGTTTGTTATAAGATAAATTTACCTCTTGTTTCCACCCTAGTCCATCGCTTCCATGCAAAAATGTGTGACAACTCTCTGTTGCTCTGCTGTTCATACACAGGTATAAACTAATGCCCTGGAAGCCTTAACTCTGATAGGAGCTGCACACCTGACCCTGTAGCAGATGTTTGCTGCCTTTATGAACTTCAGGGGCATAAAATAGGTGGAGTGAAGGTGTTTGACTAGTCTTTAAACATTGTTCTCTGCATAAATGGCTACAGCTGCTAAGAAAAAAAATCCTCTTAGTAAGCCTTGCTGTCAGCCCCCATAATAAAGAGGGAAAATGCTAATATAGATCTAACAGGTTGGGGACATAATGCATGAAGGTTTGCTTCTTTTAGTAAGAGTCTGTAGTGTGTCACTGACGGTAGTCCAGAGTTTTGTTAGAACATGCTTACATCTTCTAAAAAGCAGAAAAAAATAAATAGATCTGCCTTATTAAATTAGAACATAATTTGAAAAGAGACTGCTGTGTAATGATATAAAATACCTTTCTATCCATTCATCATAGCTGCAGAAATTAAGATGATGGCAGAGAGAACTGAGGATGTGTTTCCTAAGTGTGGTTGTAGGATTGCACCCAGCAGAGTATTTTATAGTTACTTCATGATGCACTGAGATGGTCAATCCTGAAGATAGTTCCACAATTCTTAATCTCATCTCTCACATGAAGCCATGGAGCTGCTCAGTGTGAACAACTTTATTGCCTTCGCTGTCTTCAGTAGGCCAAGGATGCCCAGTTAGCCTCCTGCAGATAGTCTCCTTCCAACAGGATTGCAGGAAGAGACGTCCCTGTAGCACAAACATGTTTTAAAAGGATTAAGGTTTGTTCAAAGACCAGCTGGGTTTTCTACGGATTTGGGGACAGCCGTTTGCCTCTTCTTGAACTGTTCCATTTTGGAACTCCCTGTTCTGTCCAGTCTCAGCCTTTAGGACCAGCATTCAACTTCTTCTCTTGCCGATAAACATTTACCTGTCTACCTCAGCCCAGAAATTCGTGGCTAACATCATGTCAGGCTCCGTGCTGACATTGTGGGTCAAATACGAGGGCAGCCCTTTCCTAGCTGAGTTTGGATGAGCCTTTCCCACCTACGGTGACAAGGCAAGCTATAAATTCTGTTAAACATCTGAAGATCTGCACCCTGGGAGTATCAGGATTTGTTCTTTGGTTAGTGAAGCTGCTGTGGGACAGAGAAGAGAGAGGAGGAAAGGACACAGACTGGGTTATACCACTTCGCTGAGGGTAACTGAAAGATGATTTAAATTGCAATTTCTGGTTGAGGACTACATGCATGTGTTCCCTGGGGATATACTGCAGTGAACCAGTATGCGTAGGTGAAAACACAAGTGCTAACGCATAACCCTTAGGGTAAAATATACCTGTTTAAAACTCTCGTGCTTATTGCGCAATATACAGGAGTGCCTGTTTAAAACAAAATCATACATTATTGTTTTATGTAAAGAAGGTTTTCTGTGTATAGGAAACATAAATATTACGTCTGTTTTTTTAGAGTTGATATGGTTACTGTTGGGCAAAGTTTAACCTCTGTGCATGTGGTATGTGTATTGATTTATTCCTAGGCAAGAAAATACATTGAATCTCTTCCACATATGCCACAACAAGATTTGAAAGCAGTATTTCGTGGTGCCAATCCATTAGGTAAGAAAGTCATACTGATATAGTTTAAATCTTTCACTAACATAGGAACTCAGGCCTTCCTTTGCTATATGATCCCATATAATAATGATCAGACCAGTGAGAAGAGCATTGCTTAACCTTTTATCCCGAGACTGTTTTCCCTTCATGAAGCCTGTGTCTTTTGTTTCTGGTGGAAATTACGGGAACCTTCTAAAGGGAAACGGCCTGGGGGTGAAAAGCAAAAGCCAGCTATATATAGCAGGAATCAATAAAAATGTCACGGGGTCTAGACTAGAGACATCACTTCTGGCTCAGGAAGGCCATGAGCTGTAATTTGCTGGCGAGCAGAAGAATATACCAGGAAATATAGCCGTTTGAATGACCCTTTTGAGTGCTGTTTCCTAGGAATGTATTAGCCATTGTTGGACACAGGATACTGGGCTAGACGGACCTTTGGTCTGATCCTGCACAGTCGTTTTTATGTCTAACCAATTGGTTCTGCCTCTGCAATAGAGATGTTTCTGTGAACCATTTCTTGTGACATGGCAAAGGAGACAAATGTTTGAGTCACTGGAGTCATCTTACTACAGTGCTTGGTCAGTCCCATCAAGTTCTCATTAAAACATTGTATATAGGGAAGTATTATGAGTTAAAATGTTTTGAATTCTGTGTATTAAAAGACAACTTTATTTTTACAAATACAAGTATCTGTGAACACTTTTTTATTAAAAATTGGATTTATTTGCATGAGGTACATGAAGCATGCTGCATATTAATATCATAAAGGCAAATTAATGACAATGCTTATAAGAAAGCACTAAAAATCATTTTTATATCATATTTGAAATACTTACGATAAACTTTCCACATAAAACCAATTTCAGCCTTACAGATCTTTCTCATTTCTAATATTCTGCAACAGTCAACTTCAAACATGTTTTCTTTATGCTGGGTCCTGTAAAGTTGCTTTGCGGTTTTCATCTGATGATTTAATTGGTGCAGCTACTTAAAAGTGTAATCTCACATTCGCAATTTTAAATTACTTAAGTTTGCACTGATCAGGACCAAGTTAAGCACATGATGCACAACACAGGATATTTAACTTCTAAGCACACAGAGATCTTTTCAGAATGAAGGCCTTGGATGTCTGAAGAGGTGAATCAGATATCAAATAGACTGTAATGAACCTTTGTGCACACCACAAGCAAACCAGAAGCTTCCTTCAGCTCTGAAAATTGTACTTACAGTATAAAATCCTCAAAGCTTGTTTGATATATCGCCTAAATTTTGTGGGTTTGCCAATAACATTAACTGTGTTTAAGGTGAGTGAGAATAGATTGTGTGTAAACAGCTGCCTTTTCTTCTAGACAGTCTCCTCTGGCTTTGAACTACGTTTCTCTTTTTCTCTTAGCTGTAGATCTTCTTGAGAAGATGCTTATACTAGACAGCGATAAAAGAATTACTGCCTCAGAAGCACTTGCACATCCATACTTTGTACAGTATCACGATCCGGATGATGAACCTGAGGCTGAGCTGTATGACGAGTCAATAGAGAACAAGGAGCGAACCATAGACGAATGGAAAGGTAACAGAATTGCATGCAGTAGTTAATGCACGCAGCAGAACAAAACCTTACTTGAGTAACAGTTTTCCTGTTTCTAACCAGAGCAATTTGAACTCTTAAGCCTCAGGGAAACAAGGTAAGTCCGTGTGTGTGCTTGTGGGAGCAGAGACGTGGAAAGGGTTGTGTTTCCTCTCTGGATTTCGCTCCCTTTCCCCGTTCTACCATCTCCTCACTACATTCCCTATAGCAAGTTTACTCTTAACTAAAAGGTGATGCGAGTTACCAGGTAACCACTCATTCTGTCTTAGTTTTCTAGGTCAGATCCTCAGCTAAAGTAACTGTTCTAGGGCAAGTGACGCTATTTGGGATTCTGACCTAGCTTTGTTCAGAACCAAAAATGAAACTTTTCCACATAAATATGTATTTGGGTAATCATTTTTTATATAGCCAAGCAATTGGGATTAATAGATAAACTGTGCTGCTGATCCTGTTGGAGATGATGATTTTACTTTGGAGTGACAACCCAAAACCCATTCTTGAGAAATAGTGCAACCACCTTTTTTTTATTAGTTAATTCCATGCTTGCATCATGATCATATTGCACTACAGTACCACGGAAGTAACATGGCTAAACATTTAGGTTACAAGTGTACTGAAAAGTACAGTCCAATTTCATCATTGTCTAGTGAGGATATACTATGCTAAAAAATCCTTACTAGACATTTTAAATTGAGATTAATACTCTAGAAAACTAATTGTTCCTGTTTATCAATAAAGTCCTTTCCTTGGCTTAAGATGAAATATGTATTCTATATAAAAAAAACTCTTCTGTTTCTATTTGTATATTCTATAACTTTTACTCCAGAAAGGTTTGATAAAAATATATTTGCACAGTGGGTAGGTTTATGATGAAAAATACTGACCTGCCGTGTGTTACTCACGCCTTTCCACTTGTGCCATGTTTTATCCTGGGCATTGCAGGGGAGACAAGCAGACTGACTACAGCAAGTACATCTTAAAGAAAGATAGGAGTGGGGTCATGGGTCTTTCTACAATAAAGCAACCTCCTAGAGCCCTGGAAAGGGTTCTCTAGAAGCCTACTGCATCTGTACAAACAAGGAGGATTGACTGGTATCGCTTATTCCTTACACAATACTCTCCTCTGCAAAACCTGGCAGCGCACAGCAGCACCCATACATCTTGTTTATTGAGAGGCATGTTCAATTTGCTGCTGTACTTACCAGTGGATGATTTGTTTTCTGCTACTTTTTCAGCTGACTGAGTCTTTAACAGGAAAGTTTAACAATTTCCGAGTCATGAAGCTGATTTCTGTTTGTGATGAAACTCCATTGAAATTATTTCAGGAACAATCTTAGCTTAACACTTGCTGAACTGAAATGGGGAAATGGAGGTGAATTCCCTCAGAAGGACAGAATCATATTTTTCTACACCACTGTCCTTGCTGGAACTACAGTTAAAATTCCTTCTTTACCCAGGGGACAAAAACAGGCCCGAGACAAAAATCTCAAAACTGGCACAGGACATGTACCTCTTCCTCCTGGCCGTATTTTTATCTCGGAGAATAAACTTTTTATTTTCAGGTATGGTACATGCCACATTTAAGTAAGATGACATGAAAGGTCACCATTTGCATAAAATGTTTGTATTGTTCATGAAATATTGGCCTGGTTTCTCAAGATGTTAATGGCGTATTTCCCCTCTTTTTCTGTTCAAATGAAAAAATCAGTGGCACTTGATCCTAAGAGAGACAAAGCACTGAAGTAAAATGAGATTTCAGACCTTTGTCTTACACATTATGCAATTAAGAGTTTCCTTGGCCTCTATTGTGCACTGCTGAGGTTTGCAGCCCAAGGTCATAGATTTCTTTCTGACACATTTAATCAGTTTTAGAAAATATTTCAAAATTTTAGAGGCGAAGAGTATGCTATTCAGAGCTGAATGCTCTGCACTGTCTCTCCTTAGCTGCTGCTCCAGTTACACACATCTCAGCTTAACATCTGTACTCTCAGCTGAGTAGGTGGCACGAGAACCGATTAAGGAGCTTCATAAACATACAGTACACAGCCAACAGGAATAATTTCTAACAGAGTCCCAGGCATCCAATTTCTGAGGATGCTGGCTTCCTCCGAGTTCAGTCAGGACCGCTCTAGCTCCCACCTGGCTGCCTGTGGCCAGATGCTACTTAAGAGCAGGAGATCAATCACTGGAAGGGTCACGTAACGAATCCTTCTGCCTCAGGGGTTCTGCACACAGAATTTCTTTCAGAGAAATCCTTCGCTGAAGCTGGCACGCCAGTCACTGTACACCATGCTACAGCATAACACAACCGGAGTGGTTGCAAGATTCAGCCCAAATATTTTTACAGATTTTTTTTAGAGGAGTGCAAGTTCTACTTGCATGTGTAGCAGCTGTCTTGGACAGATCTATTTTATAAACAAGCTAATAGGCACAAGTTTGAGACGATTTAAACATCTATGTTTGGAAAACAGATCCTGAAGTAATGCATTGTTAGCCATATATTTGCGTGAACAGGATTTGGTCCTTAGAATACAATATCTAACTTGAGAAAATACATAGGACGTCACCACTGACAGCATAGTCCATTACTGTGGAAGGCACAAAAAAGGATGTGACTGTCAGCATGAAAAGCTAAAGGGCTATTCCCAAAGCAGGGTAGAATAGCAAGGAATCCATGTTACTAGTTAAGCTTTTCTTGATGAGAAGACTACAAAAGAACATTTTTTCAGAGGACCTTAAAATTAAGTTCTTTACAATAAAATATATATATAAAAAACCCCAACCAAAACCTAGATCCCAGGGCATTAGCACAGAGCCGCAAGTGATTTATGTTGAAGACAATTGACTGAGAGATGATAAAGAACATTCTCCACAGTTAAAAGTGTACATTTTAAAATCCGTTTGGGTGCTTTTAAAGATTCCATTTTCCATTACAATTTCGCTTTTATTACATTGTTTTGGCAGGTCATCTGACAGCATAATTGATGTTTCCATTTCAGGGCCTGTGTGTTTTAGTAATTAGCTGAAGGGGATGGACATGTTGTACAATAATAGTGTTTGTGAGTCTTAATTCATAATCTGAGGTTAACAGAAGGATTCCGGGTGAATTCAGTCTATTTTTGCATCTGGACTATAAAAAGGCTGGAAATACAAACTGCAAGTCATGTGCAGCCATAGAACTGGTGGGTTTTTTTGTTTGTTGTTTTTTTTTCTGGAATATTTTTCTTTTGAAGAGAATATCACCTAATTCTCTCTCTCCCTTACCCCCTCTCTACAGAACTTACCTACGAAGAAGTGATTAGCTTTAAACCCCCCGACTTAAAAATGGACAGCCTGGAGATAGAACAGTGAATACAGTCAGCTCCGTCTTGCCTTGCTGCACTATGAAGACTGTTAAAATATAACCATACAATTTAACCTGTGGTCAGACGTAGATTTTACTATCCAAAGATGTTGGAGAAGATGTGGAAAAGCAGATGCATTATACAGAAGCCAGATGTTGTCTGTTTTGGATGGGGTTGGTTTTGTTGGGGGTTTTTTTTTGCCTTGTAATATGAATGTATTCCCAACTCACAGAAGGGTGATGGAGAACTGCTTCATTCTGACAAAATTATGCACTGAGTTCTGTCAAGCTGTGTGTTCTGCATGTTTCATTTTATCAGTTGTATTGCCAAAATAAAAGGTGACGTTTTAAATTAATTTTAAAATTGTACATTTAAAGCATGAATGTATACGAACATAAACATAGAAGTCCATACAAGCAATCCATTTTTTTTCTGGCATTTTATCTGTCCGTTTTCATATTATCTATAGTTAGTGCCTTTACGAAGAGAGGTGTGGTAGTGAGCTAGACAGAATATGCATATGTAGTCACATCTGTGGTGGTCTTACAAATTTACTGGATGTCTCTCAAGCAATCTTAACACCAGTTGACAGTCAGTAAAAATAAATCTTTGTCTTCTGTTGCCATTCAAGTGTCTGCTCTCATTCTTTTCCCCATGTATATTATTTTAATCTGCACAGTGTCAGTTTGCGAGACCATTTTAATTCCCGATGGTACTCCTAACCACGCCATCAGTGGAGTGCTGGCGAATGTGCCCAGTTTACGGGAAGGTGCCCTGAAGGTGGTGTGGCAGATCTCTGAGGCTGCGGCAAGCTCCGGCAAAGGCTGTCGCAGATGGCAGCACAACAGCGCTCGGTTCAGTTCATAGCTTTCAATTCAATATTCCTCGTTGTCTTGTTTTCCTTCACATAATCCTTGGGAAAAGAACCAAATAATTGCCATTGGAAGACAAGACAAACCAAGAAGATTTAAGAATTTGTTTGTGAAAAACAAAACATCCATCTCATCAGAGTTGCTTTTTAAGCAAAATTTTAAAGGCTTTCCAGCCCTGAAATGTTGGGGAATTAAATAATAAATTGCAGGGTACACTAGCTACCAAGATGTCTTAAATAATTAAATTTATCTCATTTCCCCATTGAAGGCGTAATACTGAAACAGGCATGAGGCCTCTTGTGGTGTACTGGCTGCGTCTTTCTACATACTTATGATTCACAGTTGTTCAATGTTCATTTTTATGTCTCGTTCTCGCTCTGTCAGAGTCTCATTTTGGAGGTGGCTTTTTATATTATTTAGGTTTTCTGCAACTTTTGTCATTAAGATTCAGTTGTACAGCTATTACCTGAGGTAATTTACTTTCCTCTGTATCTTTTCTATGTAAAAAGAGAAGCTTTTTTCTTAATAAACAGAGTTTTAAAAAATCAAGTCCAAGAATTCTGATTTTTCAGAGATACTTGACACAGTATCGTTTGTCATCTTTGAGAAATAGAAATAAGCATTCCCTCTAGAAAATGCGCTCCTAATTTGTGGGCTAAGTAGTGGACTGTTGTTGATCATGTTGGCCAATTATCTGATACTTGCATCCAGTAGAACGCAGCCATTTATATTCGGCTTTCTACAAGGTATATTAATCTGAAAGTAAATGCTTTTGTGGATTTCCTGGGAATCCTCTGAATTGTTGCCTGGCCATCATTACTTCGGCTTCCTGTAATGAGGATACTCCTAGACGAGGCCTGTAACGGTCAATGACTGAATTTC